TTTGGGCCTCCTGGGGGCCAGCAGCCACTGACCCCCCAGCCAGGACTCCCCAGACCACCATGTCGGGAGTGGAGGTCCTGGCTGGGGGTGGGGGGGGTTGTGCTGTCCTCACTGCCGCCCTTGGCGTCTCCTCCTCCTCCTCGTCCTCCTCGTCCTCCTCCTCGTCCTCCTCCTCCTCCTCCTCCTCCTCCTCCTCTTCCTCCTCCTCCTCCTCCTCCTCCTCCTCCTCCTCCTCCTCCTCCTCCCCCATCTTGAGAGCACGTGGCCGCCAACGCGACAGCGCAAAAGTCTTAGGTCAACGGCGCAATCGGACCGCTCCGGCTTCCAGGAGGGGACTGGATTGGACCCCTCCTTCCACTCCTCCTCTTCCTCCTAAGAGGAAGGGAGGACAGAGGGAGGATGAGGAGGATTTCCTCCTCCTCCTCCTCCGCTTCCTGCTCGTCCTCCTCGTCCCCCTCCTCCTCCTCCTCCTCCTCCTCCTCCTCCTCCTCCTCCTCCTCCTCCTCCTCCTCCCTTCCTCCGCCTCCTGCGCCTCCTCCTCCTCCTTCTCCTCCTCCTCCCCCTCCTCCTCCTCCTCCCCTTGCTCTCTCTTCTTCTCGCCCTCCCTTTGCTTCTTCCTTATGGCGGCCGCCCTCTCCGGTGCCCCCCCCTGGTCTTTTCGCAGTTCCCCCAGCAGCGTCCCCGCTTCGGCGGCGGACGCGGTGCGCGATTGCCACCGCTGCAGCTTGGAGCCGTTTCTCCCCTGCGTGCTACAGTGGTGGCCCATGCCAAGAAACACCCTGCTTGCCTCCAGGGTGCCCTGGGTTTCTTGGGTTTCGATGGTTCTGCTGTGGAAGGGATGACGTTCCCCCACCAGAAATCAACGGACGTCCTGGGGTCTCGGGGTTGGGATTCTTGTGGAGGGTTTCTTGTGGACTGGCCTCCACCGTACCTTGTAGCATTTTTCTTGGTTCCTTGTTTCGCCGATCGGCGCGGGCCTCTGCCCCCCCTTTTCCTCCCTCCATACAGTCATCGCGCCCAGTAAGGACGCGCGCCTTCATCTAGGGTGTCCTTATATCCTTGCCTCTGCGGCACGTCCTTTGCCGTTTTCGCTGGTCGCCCGCAGCCCGAAAAATCTAGACTTCGATTTCTAAGGGTCTTGCGTCCTTACCACCCGTCCTGAGTAGATGTTTTGATTGAAGGCCAGATCTTAGCTGCTTCCTGTGGCTGCCTTTAGCGACTGGTCAGGGCCGCCCCAAGCTTGCCTGCGCGAATTGCAACAGCAGATCGACTCGGCCCCGGCCCAGAATTCGACCCCCCCCCCTCTCTCACCCTTCGGCCAAGTGAGCGACGCAAGAACACGGGGTCGTCTGCGCCGACACTGGCGCGCAAGCTGCCCGCGCAAGCTCGCGCGTAAGCGCCCTCGTCTCTAATGCAGACTGCTGCTACGCGGGTGCCCGCGCAAGCCGCCGCGTGAGGCCGCCATGCCACCTTGCGTCGGATCGGGTTTTGCTCGTCGCTCGAGGCACATGGCCACGAGCGTATTAGAGTCAACGCGCACAGCAAGGACAAACGACTTTCTCAAGGGTACCCCCGGGTCCCTGCCTGCCTCAGCCTCTGCGGCCCGTCCCTGGCAGTTTTCGCAGGCCAGGAGACTTCACCTTCGGCCTCCGAGGGCCTCGCGTCCTGAATCCACGCGCCCTCAACTATACGCTCTCGCCCTGTGCTGCTGTGGAGGCCGGGCTCGCGCACATGCCTCCGGTCATGATTTGCACCCCCCCCTCTTGGCCGCCCCCCTCTTGACCGCTCCCGAGTAGTACACCTCAGGCGATGCTTAAGAAAACCTAAGTTTTCGTCCAGAGTCTCGATTATTCTTGACTTTGCAATGTAATAAATCCTAAGATTTTGATAGAAATGTTGGGTTTTTATTCAAGTTCTGAGACCATGAATTTCTTAACCCATGATTTCTTAAGCATTTCGCAGGGTGTACTGCTGCGGTGGAGGCCGGGCTCCCGTACGCGCGGGCCGGGAGGCGGGCCGGCGGGCCTGCCACGAGCGACGACGGGCCGGCGCGTGGCCCGCGGGCCCTGCCCTCCGACCGCGCGCTCCACGCTGCGCCGCCGTCCACGGCCCGCGCAGGCAGTCTCTTTGATTCAGTCGGGCCTGTCCTACAGGGGTATTGCTGGCGAAAAATAAAAGATACCCCAAATAAAAAAAATTAGGCAAAAAATACTCCAAAAATAGTCTGGGGATTATTTTTTGAGTAGTTTTTTACTGTTCAGGAGGGGGAGAATCACACAGACACAATGAATCCTCGGTCCCCCAGAAAATAGGGGAACATATGGGCATTGGGCGGGAAGTCAAACACCTAGAAAATATGGGATAACCTAGAAACTGTAGGAAAAGCGCACAGACACAATTAATCGTCGGTCCCCAAGAAAATATAAAAAAATCGGAATTGGGCGGGAAGACGGAAACTTAGAAAATGTTGGAAAAGATGGGGAAGCCTGTTATTTGTGTGTATTTCTTTTCGTGCTCTTGGGCCCCTTGATCTTTGACTGCCAGCAGGGGACCGGAGGCGACGACAGGGGCGGATGGCCCAGGGGGGAGCAGTGCATGTACAGTGGACACCCACGCCAGGAGACACCCTGCTTGCCTCCAGGGTGTCTCCTGGGCTTCTTGGGTTCCGATGGTCGCGCGATGAAAAAAGCGCTGCGCTCCCGCGCCAGAAGTCAAAATCGACCTCCTGGGGTCTCAGGGGGTTGCTTTCTGGGGGAAGGCTTCTCGTGGTCGAGCCCTACGGCATCCGGGGGCGCCGATGGTACTCCAGAGTTCGTAATAAAGGGAGGGGGGTCTTATTGCGGGGGGGGTCTCTTCCAGGCTATCTTGGAGGGCCTGGGGGGGTCTGGGGACGATGTTTTGGAGGGTTCTCCCACGGGGGAGGTCTGAAATGGCTTGTCTTGGAGGGTCCAGACCCCCTCCCTACGAAATCTGGAGTGCATGCTTTCGGTGAGGCTCCCGGGCGAATGCGGTGTGCAACGCCCGCCCCTCGGCTATGCGCCCCTGCCGTCGCCCCCGCGGGGACCGCTGCTGGCAGGGAGCGGACGCCAGGCCGCCCTGTGAGTTTCGCGCGGATCCGTTCGGCCAGGAATGAAGACAAACGAACCCACGCAAAAATCGCTTCGTTTTGCACTCGCCGTTTCGGGGTTTTGAATTGGCAGAAATCCACGCACAAATCCGCTGCAGCACGTCTGCAAGGTCGGTGCAGTGAGCAGTGATCGAGCAGCGGCAAAGCGTGCCCGCTTGCCTATAGCCTCTGCTCACCCTCCGCTTCCGCCCTCGGATTGGCCTGAAGTCGGGCATGTCCCTCTACAGGAGGACGTTTCAAACATAGTAACAAAATACTCAGGGGAGTCATACATATATATATATATATATATATATAGAGAGAGAGAGAGAGAGAGAGAGAGAGAGAGAACAACAAACTATATCAGAGTTATATATATAGAACAAAAAACTATATCCAAACATCCGCCCGTAGGAGGACATGCCCGAACTAAGACTGGCACCCCGTCTCCAGGGAGCGCTGCGCGGGGACCTGGTCTCTCGGGCAGGGGCGAGGCGCCGGCGCTCGTCTGCCCGACCCTGTCTGTGAGTCGGGCATGTCCCTCCACAGGAGGAAGATTTGACAGTAGCCCCCAAAAAATATGGGACAAGTTTTCTACTAGTTTTTGATCATGTTGGAACTATATTTTGAGTAATTTGATTTGTTGTGTTGTTTCTACGTTGGATTTTTTTGTGAGTAGATTTGTTGCTTCGTCAAAAAATCCGCCTGGAGGGGGACGTGCCAAACCTAATCCTATCTCTCTCTCTCTCTGTCTCTCCCCTCCGTCCGTGGCAGGGCGCTCACCGTAGCCGTGCAGCACGCGGCGAGCTGGCAAGCATCCCAGACGCAAGCGGCGTGGGGCGTAAGCTTGAGTTCGGGGCTTCCGGGTGTGAGGCGAGATTCGTCTGGGAATTTGCAGGGATGGTGTGATGCACGCGGCACCAGCAGTGCGGAGCAGAAAGACAGTTTCTCTCGCATCGTGCTTTGCTGCCTGGAAGCTTCTCTCGCGCTGCAGCGTGGCTGTTTGCGCTTCAGCTTCAGATCCCGTTTGTGAGACGGGAGCGGGCTGGGGTTTGGTCTGGGGAGGGACGATGCCCAACGCGCGGACGATTGCGATACGAACAAGGAAACAGGCTTCCTCGCGCAGCCCAGACCTGCTCATCCCCGAGGTGATTTGACGGGCTGGCTGGCTGGCTGGCTGACTGGCTGATTGGCTGGCTGGTTGACTGATTGATTCGTCGGGCCCGTTTGTAGTTTGTGATCTATAAACATGAATATACCATATACACAGGTGCACATCTATACATATTTACGTATATACACATGTCGTTCTTTTACATGGTCTGCGTGCGAATCATGTATTAAACATGCAGGGATTTGGTATTTGCAGGAGATGAAAGGGGGCAGAGCGCCTGCCTGGCGAGATGATCGACTGGAGACCGATCCCCGTTTCTTTGTGCTTGCGCAGCGGGGCACGCGCTGACCTGGAAACGGCGACGTGGTGAGGACTTAATTTTGACATTCAGATGGCCTCCAGAGACCCGCCGCCTGGCCCTGAAGCCCCGTTGGGGACCTGTGGGCCCTGGCGACTCCTGCCCCGATTACGGAATCGACCGACCCTTTCAGGCAAAACGATTCCAAACGACATGCGAATGACCAACCGACCCCACCAACCGCCACGCTATCCGACACTTGCTATATAGACGCAAACTCTTCGAGCGGCTCCGCAGCCGGCGTCGAACGACCCAGCCGTCCAGCCAGACAGCGACAGCCGCGGCGCGGCCCGCGCGGCGACCAGAGATGCGCAGCACGCACTTGAGTGGGTGGAGGCAGACATCCGCGGCACCAGGCAGCCACGTGTGGAAGGCAGTCCAGAGCGGCATCCAGACGGATATCATTCGCTGACAATTAGACCATGCTCCAGATGAGACTGGCGCGCACGAGGGCATTGGAAGCCGAGGCGGGCAAAGGCAACATGGCGCAGCAGGAGTGCCTCCACATCGTCGAGGACCAGCTGGCGGCGATCAACGGCGTCTTCCATGGGCTCCAGAGCTGCAGCGGCCTCATCGGGGCGAAGACCAGGGAGGTGGTGAGGTGATCGCGCCCAGCCAGAGGAACTATTGCGACGTGCAGATCGACGAGCCAGTATGGGAGGCGGGCGACCCAGGTGCCTGGACCCGCTGCGGCTGTCAGCGGAAGGACGAGTGCTGGTGGGTTGACTGCAGCAACGAGGCAGAAGACAGCGCGGACGAGATCGCCATGAAGATTGGGATGCTCGAAGAGAGGCTGGCGAAGCTGGATGGGGCTCAGGAAGGTCATCGGCGCTGGCGGCGACAGCGAGGAGAGCCGCCCTGGTGGCCTCGCGGAGGCCTCCCCTCCGAAGAGCACCGCGGCGCCCGCGTCTTCGAATCGCTAACATAGCAGCGACATGACCTGTAGGTCATGTTTTTCCCCGTACGTCAACCGGCCAGACGGCCACAGTCTGGCCTAGCGAGAGAGAGAGAGAGAGGGTGAGTGAGACTGGCCTTCTTAATTCTTTTCGTGCCCCTCCTCCACGGCCCACCTCTTCTCCTCTATCTCCTGCGCGATGCGTCGCCTGCGCCCCCTCCGCGTGCCGCCCCTCCTCCGCCGCGACATGGCTCCCCTCCTCTGTCGCAGGCTGCTGGGCGCGCGCTCGCTCCCAGCGCCAGTGGGCGCCGGCCGCGGCCGACGCAGGTGGGCGCCCGCGCTCGCTGGAGGGCAGGGCTCTCCAGCAGCGCCGGGAGCTCCAGGCCTTGGCATCCTTCAGACGTGTGCGTATTTTCTCGGCGAGGACCATCGAGGAGCCTCCTGGAGCATCGGGGCAAACTAACACGCACGACGCCGAACGAGTGCACGGGGAATGGGCGCCCGAACGATGGCAAGAGGCAGGGGTGCCGCGGGTGCGGCGGGCGGACGGCGAGGGCCAGCCCCCCGCCCGCACCTCTCTCGGCGACCTGCCTCCCCCTCCTCCTCCTCCTCCTCCTCCTCCTCCACCTCCTCCACTTCCTCCTCCTCCTCTTCCTCCTCCTCCGCCTCCTCCTCCTCCTTCTCCTCCTCCTCCTCCTCCTCCACCTCTTCTCCTCCTCCTCCTTCTCTTCCTCCTCCTTCTGCTTCCTCTCCTCCTCCTCCTCCTCCTCCTCCTCCTCCTCCTCCCCCCTCCTCCTCCTCCTCCTCCTCCCCCTCCTCCTCCTCCTCCTCCTTCTCCTCCTCCTCCTCCTCCTCCTGCTCCTCCTCTTCTTACTCCTCTTCTCCTCCTCCTCCGCCTCCTCCTCCCCCTCCTTCCCCCAACCCCGGCCCCCCTGGCGCCCACCCGGCAGGCGCCCGCGCCCGCGCTGCCGACGCCGCGCAGCGGCGCGAGGCCGAGCGCCGCCGCGAGGAGGAGCGCCGGCAGAAGGAGGAGGCCCGGCGCGCAGAGGCCTCCCCCCCCGCGAGCCGCGGCTCGCCCGCCACGGGGGGGCCGTCGTCGTCGGAAGTCGGAAGTCGGAAGTCGGAAGTCGGAAGAGGAGGAGGAGGAGGAGGAGGAGGAGGAGGAGGAGGAGGAGGAGGGGAATGAGGAAGGAAAGGAGGAGATGGGAGGAGGGAGGAGGGAGGAATGAGGAGGAGGAGGGAGACGGAAAAGGGAGGAGGCAGGAGGAAGGAGGTGGGAGGAAGGAGGAGGAGGGTGGGGAGGAAGGAGGGGGGGGAAGGAAGGAGGGAAGGAGGAGGGAGGAGGGCAGAGCGAGGAGGAGGAAGGGGGCAGGATTGTAGTGTGTTGCCCATGCCCTTGAGGGTAGGCGTTGGCCCTGTCGAGTCGGAGGGGGCACACGGGGCCTCTCATCCCTGGAGCGCTGCGCGTGACGGTTGGTATGACAAACCTTGCGGTCTGAGTGTCTGAACAGGGGCGTTGTGGACACCTGGTGCTGGTGGATGGGAGGAATAGGAGGGGTGGGGGAGGGAGGGAGGGAGGGAGGGAGGGAGGGAGGGAGGGAGGGAGGGAGGGAGGAGGAGGAGGAGGAGGAGGAGGAATGGAGGAGGGAGGAGGGAGGAGGAAGGAGGGAAGAGGGGGGAGGGAGGGACGAGGGGGAGGAAGGACCAGTGTAAACGCAACGCGCAGTACACATGTCCTCCAAGTTCCTTGTGCGTAGACCCCATACACGGAACTGCTATTGTGGAACATGCCGAGTCGAAAACAAAGCCTGATAATGCTCAAACATGTCACAGAGCCGTTTCTGGGGCTTCCACTCGGCGAATCAACGTGCTTGTTGCGTCCTGTCATTCCCATGTCCATGTTGTTCTAGAGCAACGTTCTCTCGGGGGTGGACAGAAACCCCACCCTGACGCGTCGATTAGTGAATTGTCCGTTGTCGGTTCTCGAGAGGGCGCCGTGACCGGCATTTTCCACGCCTGCGCCCGCCAGGTCTGGACCCGAGGTCGTTTTCACTAAACCACGTTTTGCGAAAGGGGGTTCGGTCCCTCCCCGATTCGCAGGATCTCAGCGCTACAGTCCTGACACCTGCTGCTCTCCTTCGTGACGAGCGTGCGCGTCGTCCATAGGCCCCGCAGTGCCCCTCGGTTGCCTCGCCCGCGGCTTGGTGCCACGAGGCCCAGACCAGAGGAGCGCGCGGTACTCAGGCCAGAGCCACAGTTTGGAAAGAGGAGCCGCCGTGCCCATCCTTGCAGCTGCTGCAGGGCGTTTGAGGCAGAGGTGCGCCGCGCTCGAGCGAGGGCCACGTGCTGAAGCTCACCCGCCCTCCTCCCCGGAAGCTGCCGCGAACTTTGAGGGACGAAGTTGCGCTGCGCTAGGGCGAGGCGGAGAAGGAGGAGGAGGAGAAGGAGGTGGAGGAGGAGGAGGAGGAGGAGGAGGAGGAGGAGGTGGAGGAGGAAAAGGAGGAGGAGGAGGAGGAGGAGGAGGTGGAGGAGGAGGAGGTGGAGGAGAAGGAGGAGGAGGAGGAGGAGGAGCTGCGCTGCGCTAGGGCGAGGCCCGCATTCCGAACGGGGCCCGCCCTCCGCCCTCGAGGCACTGTGGCACGCTTTCGCAACGGAGGGCGCGCGGTGCTTTCGAGAGGGCCACGTGTTGGAGTCCAGCCCGCCCTCCAGCACTGACGCTGTCTCGAGTGTCAGGCTTCGGGATCAGCAGCGGTGCGGCAGTCTCCGGCAAAACGCCCTGCCCGCCCCACCGACACGTCGATTAGTGAATGGTCCGTTTTCGGCTCTCGAGAGGGCACCGCGCCCGCCAGGCTTGGGCCTCGGGTCGTCTTCACTAAACCACGTTTTGCTAAAGGGGGGTCTGTCCATCCCCGAAGGGGCCGTGGTGGCGCACGTCCTTCCGGGCTGCTCTCGCGGGGCACCCGGAGCACCTTGAGCACCCCGCCGGAGCACCTTGAGCCCCGAGGGGCCCATTCCTCGATGCATAGCCGCTTCCGGCGCCGGGAGGCGCCGGGAACAGCAGTCATACGTGAGCTGATTCTGAAACCCCCTCCTCTCGGGTCGGGCGGAATTTCGCCCGACCCGAGAGGAGGCCAGGGGCCGTGGTGGCGCGCGTCCTCCCGGGGCTGCTCCCGCGGGCGGGTGGCGGCGGTGGCGAGTAAGGTCCAGCGGGTTCAGGCGGCTTTTGACAACGCGCAAACCAAGCATCCCAAGCTCACTCCCGAGCTCGACTCGCGCAAGATGTCTTTCAGAAGCCGACGACGGATCTTGCGCAGGTGGAGAGGGAGCGCGCGGAATTGTTTCGTTTCGTGGTTCCGCCACAGGAAGCAATAGGTGGCCAAGCATATGGTCCGACTATTGACCTCTCAACATTACAACAGTCGTCCAACGTTGACGAGCCACTGTCTTCAATGTCGTTGGGAGGTGGTTTCGTGAGCGATGCTGGGCGTATCAGTCCATCAGACATGGCCGAGAAGGACAAACGCAATGAGGCAGTGGTTTCGTCTCTCCCTCAGACGTTGACGGCGGAGCAGTGCAGGGGAAGCTCAAGGAGCATCGTGACCAGATCTCGGACATCCGCGAACGAATGACTGTTGAATTCCCCAGTCCCAGCTCCTTCCCAACTGGTCGGAGCTGCAGTGGCTTCGGCAGGCTCGGCAGGGTCGGGATCTGGGGCAAGTTTACCAGGTGCGGGTCCCGGTGGGTTTGCCACGGGAGGTGCCGCGGCACCTCAGCCCGCGGCAGATGGGGCGCCGACGTTCCTGTCGACGACAAGGGGGGCGCGTCAGGCAAGAGGCGGCCGGTTGCAAGTTGCAGTCGGATGCGAAGGTTCGACTTAGCCAGGCGCGCTCGACGGCCGCAGGCGACGACGCGCATCTACTTCGACGCGCACGTCTCCCTCGGCTTGGGCGGGCCATCGAGCCGAGGGGCAAGGCCGCCGTCTGCGCCATCCAGTTCGGCCCCTTAATGTTATTTGACAGCGCTGCGGCTCAGCGCCGCGCTTGAGAAGGCCGCCTTTCTGGGGCAGAGCATGGCGACCTAAGCTCGCGCCAGGGAGTCGGCCGCGACGGCGCAGAACGCGGGGGGGGCGAGGTTCCCACCGCCCCAGTGCCCCCCAGGGCTGGGCCATGCTCGGTGGCAGGCACTTCGTTTGCAGTTACTTCCTACAGCGTTTGCGGGCCACGCCGGCCAGAGAGCGGGGCTTCCAACGCTCGCATTGGAGCTTCGGCTGCGACGGCGCAGACCGGGCAGTTTCGGCGCCGCCCCATGTTGCCAGGGGCGCGGCCCCCCCCTGCGGCGGGATCAGGCGCTTCGCAGGGATGGGCGTCCTCCGGATCGCACCTCCCCTTCTCGGCGCCGTCTCTGCCTGCATGGCGCTCCCCAGGGGGGGTTTCGTTTGGTGGGGTCCGCGTGGGGCCGCCCCGCTGGGCCGCCCCGCGTGGCCGGGGAAACGGCGCCCCCTGGGGCGGGGTCTGGATCCTCGCGGGTGCCGCGATCGACGGGTGCGGCCACTCAGTCGGGGGTCGTCTTTGCGGCCTTGCGCCGCCCCCGATGCGCGTCGCGCCCTGGCCCAGCAGGGCGCCCACCGCTTGCGCGAAAACTCCGGCTGCGACGGCGCCGAGCGAGGAGTCGCCCACCCACCCGGCGGTGTCGATTTAAGGAGGACTACGCAAGGGTCAGTTTTGCCCGTGCGGTCGGGGCGCGCCCTCCCCCCCCCTGGGACGAGGCCAGGCGCCTCGCGGGGAGTGGCGTCTTCTGGATCGACACTCTTGTCTTCGGCGTCATCTCAGGCTTGCGCCGCCCCTGGGGTGGCATCGACAGGAGGGTAATTCGCCAGGCCGCCTCGCGCGGCCAGGGAGGTGGCCCCCCTGGCGCGGTGGGGGCGCGCGTTCGGGGGGCGCCCCCTGCAACTTTTTTTTTTTTGGGGGGCTGGGCTGGGCCCAGCGCGCCGCGCGCGGGGGGCGTCGGCGGTTGGGGCTCCGCAGCGAAATCCACGGCGAGGAGTCGGGGCGCCGACGTCAGCGCTGTTCCTGAGATGCGCGTGGAGGGGGTCGCTATGCGGCAGGCATTCCGCGCGATGGGGAGGGGGGGGGGGGCTGGGCGCGCTGGAGTTCTTCGGGCGTTGCGCGAAACAGGTGCCAGCGCCCGCGCAGGAGGTGCCAGTGTCGTTTCCAGACACTTCGCCTCCTTGCGTCTCAGCCTCGTCACCAAGTTGACATTCGCGATCTTGGTGGTGGTGCGTCTTAGCTTGGCATCGGCTTTCGCGGTTTGGCGGGCCTGCAGCTTCAGGCTCGAGGTCAGTCGCGGTTCTTTGTTAGGGCGTGCATGGCGTGTTCGATCGGGCCGAGCGCTCGTCAGCTCGACGGCGCGGGCACGTTTGTCACTGCGGTGTCCGGCCCTTCGACTGCCGTCGGAGATTAGGCAGTGAGCCCTCCAGTGTTCTCGTCTACGCGTTGGCTTTCGTTGGTCGGGGGGTGCCGTTGCAGCGCTGGCGAACGCGACTGGCGCGCGCGCTGGGTGGCAGGAACGCGCGCGCGATGCCGCGGTCGCGTCCGAGTCGGCGCGGCCGCGGATTCGAGTTCGATTGCAGGTTCTCGAGCGGCCGAGAAGGCAGGCGCATGCCACAATGAATGGAAGCTGGGCTTCAATGCGCGTCTACCTCGAGCTGGGACGACGAGGGCTCTTCGTGCCTTTGCCTCGCCCCAAGCCGTCCAAAGCTCAAGGCTAAGCTGGGCAGTGAAACATCCGAGGTTCGGGCTGCGGCTGAGAGTTCCAGGGCGGATCGCGCTCCGACTTCGATTCCGCCAGCACCTGGGCCCTGGGGCCTGCCTCGCAAGCTCGCCATAACGAGCCCGCCTCAGCTGCGGCATGCCATGATGGAGGGTGGCGGGTGGCCCGCGCCGCGAGGGGGGGGGGGCTGCTGGGGGCGTCTATCTCGCAGCCCCGCACAAGGGTAATCGCGCGAAGTTGCCCAGGGTGCCCAGGCAATTTCGCGGCCCATTTCGTGTC